GCATTGCCGTGAGAAGTGGGGACGATGGATGCAATCGAACGGACGGGGGAAGGGACGCAATCGAAGAGACGGGGGAGGGATCACAAGTCATTTTCAAGCAGGGTTTAGCCCAAGCAACTTCAGACATTCCCAGCTAGGGGACCTCTGGGATTTCTTGGAGGCCTCTCAGAGCCAGCTTTTGGAGTTCCCTTTGACATCGTTTTGTGTGATTTTTGTTACCCGCGTGGGGCTCTCTTGCAGCCATCTTTGGATCCTAGCCCGTTGGGTCGTCTCGGGTCCGTCTTGGGCGCGTTGGTTCCACCTGGATTGACCGAAAGGCTTGGTTCAACCATCTTGGGGACGTCTGGGCGGGTCTTATGGCCGTCTCGTGCCCCTCTTGTGCCGTCCTGGGTTGTTCTCGGGTAGTATCGGGGCTCTCTTGGGGCCGTCTGGGGCCATTCATGAGGCTCTGCGGGGCCCTTTTCAGCTTCCCCCCATGGCGGTCAGTCGAGAAGCTTCGTAAGCAACGCGCATGTCTTTTGACTTTTTGACCTTGCTGTAAGGCTCGGATGCAGAGGTTTCCCTTGTGGTTCCCATGTTTCATGTTTCTTTTCGTATTTCTTGCAGAAGGGTTCTTCCGCAGATGCATGTTTTTCAGATTTCCTCTGAGGTTTCCCGATGGAGGCCTCGCTGGAGGCCACTGAGAGCGCCTTCTGGGGTCTTCTGAGAGCTTCTCGGAGCATCTCGCGGACATCTTGGAGCCTTTCGGGGTTGGGCGGTCTTGGGCTGGTCTTCGGGCATCTTGCAGCCATCTTGAGGCTGCCTTTGGCCGTCCTGGACCCGTCTGGCAGGCCAAGCCATAATTGGCGCCAGGACGCAGATCTGAGCGGGGGCGATTTTGAATTGGGTCTGCTGCGAGGCAGGAGCTCGGCCGTATAAAGCTACAGACTGCTGCGAGCATTCTAACACGCCCCAGCGAGCCTGTGGCACGGTGAAGATAGGGTCGGGAACCTGCGGTTAGCGTGTCGCTACACCGGTTCTGGCCCACCACGCATCGGAGCGACACGCTATCCACATCGCGGTCCCTCGGCGTACGCCTGCCGAGCTTTCCCGAGCCTTCCGCCCCGCGGAGCGGGGCGACGCGCTATCCGCTCGCGGGACATAGTGTGTTGCTGAGGCCGCCGCGGCGACACGCTAAGACAAAAGTTCCCAGCCGTAAAAGGCGGTGGGTTTTCAGGCCTCGGTCGTGGCAGCTACGCGCGAGGACTGGAGGCCCGCCCAGCTGTATCTTGATGTGTGCCTGACAGGGCATCGATTCGCCGAGGGCCATGTGGGCGCCCCAGGCAGTGCGTCCGACAGCGATCCCTGCATCCTTGTCACTTCGTATTGGGTCTAGAGGTATGAGAGGTGTTGTCGTCTTGTGTCCCCTTACCGCCAGTCCCAGTCCCTGTCCCTGTCCTCCTGTTCCTCCTTGTCGTCCCCCTTCCCGATCGGGAGGATGAAGAGGAAGCGGAGGACGAGGACGAGGACGACGGCGGCGATGGCTTCGGCGGCAGCGGCCGTGCTGGTGCCCCCTCAAGGCCTGCACGTGAGGCACGCGGGCGCGAGGCTGGTCATCGTGGCCCTCCACTCGGACGCCGCCGTGTGCCGGTCCTCGGCCGATAGCGTGGCCGGCGGCGGCGACGGCCTGGAGGTGGGCGACGTCATCGTGCAGATCAATGGTGCCACCTGCCGCCGATGCCGTGGGCCGCTGCAGCTCACCGCTGCCGTCGCCTCCGCCGCCACCGCCGTTGCCGTCGCTACAACAGTCGCCGTTGCTGTCGCCGCCGCCGCCGCCTGCGGCTTCGGCGTCCCTTGTCGTCGTCGTCGTCGTCGTCGTCGTCGTCGTCCTTCTTCCCATTGCCCATCTCGTGAGGTCTCCAGAAAAGTCACTGATCCTCGATCCTCGTCCTCCACCACGGTGTGAGTGGTAACGTCGAGGCCATGCTGCAGGAGTGCAAGGAGAAGGACACGCTTGTCGTCCACGCTCTTAGACTACTCGACACCGACGCTCTTAGACCGAGCTGGCGCAAGAGTGGCAATGGCAATGGATAGTTTTTTTCTCGCAGACTTCCAGCGTCTTGAGCAAGTCAAGACATCTAGTTTTTCTGTGACTCAGGGGACTTACAGAAACGGTCCAGGACGAAACATACTCCCTGAGGAATCGCGTGGAGAACTCCAGGGGGCACGTGTTGAGGTCCAGCACGACGTCGGAGGTCTGGTCTCACTTCTTGGCTCGCCGTTGCATGTTGATAGTTCGGTCGATTGTAAGTTTATGGATGTCGTCTCACTCGCGGGCTGATAACCTTTATCCGGCATTCGCCCCGATTGTTTGTTAGGCGCAGGTGTTGCTTTACAGTCGAGGATGATTATTAGGTCGACCTTGCCACCATGCATTCTACATTCGTATGGCAATGTGGCCCTCGGAAGGGTCTTGTGTCCTCTCGCGTGTCCTCTTCAATCAACCCCGACTGTACCCGGCATTCGCCCCGACTGTCTGTTCGGCGCAAGTGTTGCTTTACGTGAGTTTGTGCGCCGTTGTTGTTTTCGCCGCGTGCCCGCGAAAGTGCGGCACGCTGCAAGCACCCTCGAGCAACACGCTGGTCTCGCTTCACGCTTGTCTCTTTTCCGGCGCTCCAATTGCGCGTGCATTTTCGTGTCGGTGGTGACAGCGCGTGAGAGAGCCATCACCGTGCAAGACGAGGCCGAGTGATCGCACCGTCGAAGTGTTGGAGTGATGACCTCGTTGATCTCGCAAGAGGCTTGTGATTACCCAATGGCATTCGGGGCCTTTTGGGGCCCTTTTGGCCCGCCTTGGGGCCTCTCTGGGCCCGAAAAATTGATGCGGGAAGCCGCGGGGGAGCCCACAGGAACCGCTGCAAGCCACGGGAGATTTCGGAATTTGGGGTCAGGGCCCCTCAAACCCTCAGGAATCACTCTGGGAGAGGTCCGGGGAGTGCTGCCAGGGGTGGTTTCGGCTCGGGGATCCTGATCGGCACGATTGGAATGGGTACGGAAGGAGTGGGTACACACGGCAGGTTCGCGCCGCTTTGACGCGACGGCGACTCCAGCGCGGTCGCTCAAGGTTGAACGTCGCCAGCGGCCCATAGTCGGCCGATCTCTGCGTTGTCGGAAAGCCGCGGCCGTTCAAGTTTACACGATCCACGTGGTGTCAGGAGCCAACGACGACGTCGTCGCGATGTTGACCTGCCGTGCGAAGATCGACAGCAGTTTTGGATTTTTTTAGCAGGGTGCGCTTTCGGCGTCGCCGCGGGCGTTGTCCACTTCAGACACGGGGCCGCCTGCCCGACAGCGGCCGCTGTCGGTTTTGAACAGCATTTGTGTTTGGGCATGGTACCATTTTTTATCCGTGCCCATTCTGGGCGTTCATTATTGCTTCGGGTCCGAGCCAGGTATGTACGCCCATCAGATGGGGTCCGAGTACATGGGGTCGGCGTCGCCGATGCATCGCCGATGCGGCTCGATATGGAGCCAGATTTTCTCCACGCCAGCGGCACCGATGCATTGCCGGCATCGACGATGCGGCGCGATCCTCCGTTTCCATCTACTCTGACCCCGTCTTGGAGACCTCTATGGTAGCCCCTCGTGAGGCTGAGCCTCAGCCATTAGAGCTGCTGGTCGGACTGCTCTTCGCGTTTCATGTAGGCCGCCTCGGTTTCTGCCGCGTAGATCTCAACGTCGAACCTGTGGCAGAGAGTGATAAAAAAGCATGGTGTAGTTACGGGTGACAGTAGGTGCGTCCGTGCGCAGGTCGGCCATGGACAGGCGGGAGTCCAGGTGCCCTCCTACGCAGAGCCTGGCCTTGGCTTTGACCGGCAAGGGATGCTGTTCTGTCCGCAGCGGCGCGTTCTTGCCCTGTAGACACCGGCTGGGCAAGGTCATGTTCGGCTTGACTGCCTTGCGGGACGCCTCGGACTCAACAGTGGAGAAGCACCTGGCAAGATCCGTACTTCTCTTTTCCAGGGAGGCCCGTGCTGGCCTCCAGGGTAACCCTCAGGAGGCCAGGAGGGCCCCAGGGTCTCCAGAGAGGCGCGAAGAGTTGGGGGCGCTTTGGGCTGGGATCGTCTCTTGCAGCCTCCGACACGGGTGTAAAGATCGAATGACAACGCAGATGCATAAGCTGAAATATTTGCAGGAAGACCGCGCGGATTTCTGGGGTCTGCGCCCCCCAACTTCTGCCACGGTGGCAGAGTGGTCCAGCACCGACCAAAGAACTCCGCACGGACACTGTACGTCTGTTTTGCATCTACATATAGAGTGTGTGTGTGTGTGTGCGTGTGTGCGTGTGTGTGTGCGTGTGTGTGTGTGTGTGTGTGTGTGTGTGTGTGTGTGTGTGTGTGTGTGTGTGTGTGTGTGTCTGTGTGTGTGTGTGTGTGCGTGTGTGTGTGTGTGTGGATGTTGTGCTTTGCGTTTCAAGATGCTCGCCTCTTCCCTCAGGCATCCTGCGGCCGTTTCCTCTTCCTTCCTCCCTCTGGCTTCCCTTCGCTCCTTGTTTCGTTTGGTTTCAAGCAGTGAGCCTTCAGAATACGCACTGCTTCCAGACGCCTGCGGCGCACGCGCCCTCATGGCTCCTTGAGTAGACTCCGCTCTCGTATCATCTGCCGCTGCTGATGCTCGTGCGAAGTGATCCCCGTTTCTCTGCTTCTCCCCCTCGCCGTCGCCGTCGCCGTCGCCGTCGCCGTCGCCGTCGCCGTCGCCGTCGCCGCCGCCACCGCCGCCGTCGTCGTCGTCGTCGTCGTCGTCGTCGTCGTCGTCGTCGTCGTCGTCGTCGTCGTCGTCGGCAGCGGTGTCTGCGGCGGCGGTGGCGGTGGCGGCGGCGGTGGCGGCGGCGGTGGCCGCGTTGTTCTCGTCGCCCGCGTCGGGGTCGTCGGCGTCGCCCGCGTCGTCCTTGTCGTCCTCGTCGGCGTCTTCGGCTTCGTCGGCTTCGTCGCGCCCGCGCCCGTGCCCGCGCGCGCGCCTGTGCTCGAGGGGCGGCCGCGGGCCGAAGCAGCCCGCGGCGCGCGCGGAGAGCGCCTGCCCCCTCCCCTCCTCCTGGCCTCTCCCCCCTTTCTCCAGGGGCAACGATAGGTGGGGGATAGGCATGTGGGGGAGATGCATCGACCCCCCTTCGCCCATGGATCGCGGGTAGGTGCCCGATAGGCCCAGCCTACCCAGGAACGCGCGGATCCACCATCGGGGGCTTATCGCCGATCTACCAGCGTCGTATTGCCGATTCCGGGTCGATGTTCCCTCCTCCCCCCCCTTTGCCAGCGCCCCCCCCCTATCGAGGGCCCCTCACTTTTCCTGGCCGCCCGCGGAAGCGGGGCAGCTGGCGGGATAGGCGCTCTTGGGCGGAGCGGCAGGGGCGAAAGGCGGGTAAGAGTCCCCTTGGCTGGGCTTGGGGACGGGGTCGGGGGCTTCCCAACGGCAGGGGAGATGCCCTTGTGCCCTCCTTGCTTGGGCGAGGGTGGCCGCAACCACAATTAGCGCCACGACCTCACCGCCGGCCGATTGCATTTTACCCACAGCTTCCACCAACCGCTCGATCTCCCTACCATTCCAGCTTCCCGCCAAGTCCCACACAGTCCGTCTCCCTCCCTCTAGAGGTTTTGTAGCATGTTTCTCTCGTCCTACTTTCTCTTCCCTCATCTGTGTTCTGCCTGTCGCCTTATTGTATCATACTCCTCCCGTTTACTTTGCAGCTGCCAAGGCCATTGGCCCCATCGGAACACTAGGCTGACAAGCTTGATCACCCCTCCAGGCCGACCAGCCCTGGGGTGGCGGGGTGGCAACGTCTGATGACTTTTCATGCACCAGGAACCAGGAACCAGGAGGAGGAGGAGGAGGAGGAGGAGGAGGAGGAGGAGGAGGAGGAGGAGGAGGAGGAGGAGCAGGATGAGGAGGAGGAGGAGGAGGAGGAGCAGGGAAGAGCAGAGGTCCAGAACAAATCCCTTGGGTGGTTCGAGGGCGAGGAGTAGGAGGAGGCGTCTTGAATTGCGCCCAGCACCCACTCGAGCGAGGCATTTTATTGCTCTCCGCAGGCGCTTGATAGGCTCCGAGTCAGTTCTGGGCCCGTGATTTCCGATCTCCCAGCGGGCTTCTGGCCTCCCGGGCTTCCACACATCGGGCGGTTCGATTCATTCGGGGCACGGGTCCTCCAGAGCCCAGGGCGCTTCTGCATTCAGGGCCAGTCTTTGTCTGATGGTCGCGGGTGACGGAGCTGGCCTCCCGAGGTTGATATTTTGTGTTCGTTGGTAATGTTTGGGGAGTCCCACCCCGTCCTGGGCTCCACCCCACCTTGTGCACCGCGGCGTTGGCTCGGAGCGCCCTCGGCGCGAGGCGGTTGTCCTTGACGACGGAGTCTGTCTGAATCTGTCGGCGGGGTTGGCGCCCCCCGCCCGAGGGTCATCAAGAAGTGAGCGAGCGAAGGTCCGATCGAGCACCCCAGGACGTCCCATCCCGCTCGTGGGAACGGCGTGCTCAATGCATAGAGTACGGAACACGTGCACCTTAAGCATTCAGCAAGCAGTGCAGAGTGCAAACTGCGAGTCCCTGGCCGTCCGCTTTTTTCGAGCCGCCGGGTGCCTTGCCCTGACCGCCCCGCTTCCGCGCTGTGGCGGCCGCGGCGCACGCGGCGTGCGCGGAGCAGAGGGGAGCCATGGCGTGCCTCCGCACCGAGCACGGCGTGGTCGCCATGAGGCCAGTCGGGGGCGGCCCGGGTCCCCCACTCGGCTGCGCGCAAGAGCGGCCCTTCGCAAGAGGGACCTCGGTTCGGGCCCGCTCTGCCCCCCCAAGAGTGGCCTGCGCGCTTGGATTTGGCCCCGCCGCGGCCCCCTGAAGCCACGCACCAGAGGGTACTCTTGCCTGGGATCACTCTTGAGTGTGCCCGACCGACCTCGGTCTTGTCTTTTCTGTTGGTCCCCCCCTTGGTCTGGTCCCTGGAGTTTTTTTTTCCTCCGTTTCCAGCTTCTGGGGGGCGCTTTCTGGGTCCCAGGGCCGTGTGAGGTGGGTCCGGGGCGAGGCACTGCCCTTGGGGGAGGGGTCGAGACCTCTGGGGCATCGCAACATGGGTTTGGTAACGCTTCGCGTTGCCCCCAGATTGTCCTGGCTGGCCTCAACAGGCCCCTCTCGTAGTCGAAGCTGGCCTCAACAGGCCCCCGAGAAGTCCGAGGCGGTCTTAACACCCTGGCACCGCCTCCGGCGGCGCACCTAGTGCGCTCCGCGCCCCAGGCCAGGGCTGGGGTGTTGAGACCGCCTCAGACCACTCGCGGGGCCTGTTGAGGCCAGCTTCGACTACTTGAGGGGCCTGTTGAGGTCAGCTAGGACTACGGTAGGTTCGCGCCGTGTCGACCTGCAGCGACCCCGCCGCCCGCTTTCAACATTGAACGCCGTCGGCGCACCAGAGTCGGTCGATGTTGAAAGATGCGGCATTACGGAAAGGGCCGATTGTTCAAAGCTGAACGATCACCGCGGTGTCAGGAACCAACGTCGGGGTCGGCATGACACGAACTTGCCGTATCTGGGGGGCTGTCTTTGCGCAGCCCTTGCTTGGCCTTACCGCTTGGGTTGAGCAGTCATATGGAGCCTTCCCGCGCTGCTTTGTGGCCCGCCTGGGTTCGCGACATGGCTCCGGCTGGTGTGGGTTGGCGTTGATCTGGGTCAGCCTGCCTCCTGGGCGGGAAGGATCAGTGTTGGGGGATCGTGATCGCGCCGCATTCATGGATCGCTAATCCATGTTTGCGCGCCCCCGACTAGAGGCTTCCAGGGACTCCCGTGAGACTTGTGGGGACCCCTGGAGCTTTGGGAGACCTCTAGAGATCTCCAGACTTAAGCTGGAGGGCGCGCAGAGGGGGTGCGCGGCCAGGGGGAACACCCTTTCAGGAAAGCCTCCCGCCTTTTGTTGTGGGGCACATGGTCTTGAGCTTGAGGGACCTGTCCCCCCCCAAAGCTCTCTTGCCGTCCCAGAAAGTCGCCCCCCCCTCATTCTGCCGCGTCCCAGGGTCTGTCGGCAGCGGCCTTTCAAGCTCGGAGCGGCTTCCAGGAAGCCTCCAGGGCCAGGAGAGTTTCATTCTGACGCGCGCAGCGTTCTCCACGATGGCCAAACGATCCTGAACCCTCGCGGCTGCGCGAGCGCCCGCCCTCGCCGCCGCCGCGCCCGCGCGTGCCGCTGCGGGCCAGCCTCCGCCCGCCGCCCCTGGCTCGGGCCCCGCCAGCGGGCGCGCCCAGCCTGCGCCCCTGGCTGCTGCCCCTGGCCCGCTTGCACCAGCGGCTGCCCCCGGCCCCGCGGCCGCTGCGCCAGCCCCGGGAGGCGCCCCCGACGCGGTCGCCCCAGCTGCCGCCGCCGCCGCCCCGCGGGCGTGCGAGGAGTGGTTCGTGGACGACGGGCAGGTATTCGTTCGGCTGGCTGACCTCGACCCCTGGCTCAGGGCGCTGGACGCCACCCTCGCGCGCTTCGGCGGCACCCGTGGCAATGTTGCTGCGGGCACGGCCAAGAGCTCTTGCCGCCGGCTCTGCCCCCTGGACCAGCGCCACGTCTACGCTGGCTGGGACACGGACTACGTCCGCACCGCCTGCCAAATCCTCGACCCGCGCGGCCCCACGCTCGCGCTAGGCGCGCGCCCTTTTCGGCGGCGACGAGGCGCTGGACGACGAGGTCAAATCGGTGGTGGACAAGGCCCGGGCCGCCCGCCTCGCGCTCCTGAGCGTCAGCCACGCCCCCATCGCACTCGTCCTGACCCGCCTGTGTGCCGACGTGTCGAAACTCTCCTACCACTTGCGCCTCAATGGTGACTGGATCGGACACGACCGACTCGCCACCTTCGACCGCGACCACCGCACCGCCGTGGAGACCATCGTCGGCGGCGAGCTGCCTGACGACGCCTGAGAGCAAGCCACCACTTGCGTCCCCTGGGGCGACTTCGGCCTGCGCACCGCGGAGCGCGTGTCCACCGCCGCTTTCCTCGCCAGCCGCGTGAGCTCCCGCCCGCACGTTCGCGACATGGCCGAGCACCTTGCCCAGGCGGGTCTGTGCACCGCGGCCGTGGTCATGGCGGCCTACGACCGGCGCACGGAAGACGCCGCAATCACCTTGGTCGGGCTCCTCCCTCCCACCCCTGGCAGACAGCTCCTTGACCTCCTCGCCGACGAGGCCGACCTGTGCGAGGAACGGTGGGCAGGCCTCTTCGACGCAGGCGTGCCCGCCAACGACGACGCCTCCAGGCGCAACGGCGGGCCCCAGAGCATGGGCAGCGGCATCGTCCCCCACGACGGAGGAGGAGGATGACGAGCACCCCGCTGCTGCCCCCTGCGGGCGCGCCCGGTTACAGCGGTCCATCTTGGCCCGCCTGGGCACGCAGTCGCGGCTGGAGCTACGCGAGCGCCACGCGCAGGCCGGAAACGCCCCAGCGCTGCGCCGCTTGGAGGACATCGGCCACCTCGACACCAACCATGAGTGGTTGTGGGCCTTGAGCCGGCACAAGGGGCCCGTGCTCGACCACCAGGACTTCGTCGAGGCGCTCCGGCTACGCTTGGGCGCCGCTGGCCCCAGCGAGCCCACTCCCTGCCACCTCTGCGGCTGCTCGCTGCTTGACTGCGCGGGCTCGCACGCCCTCAGCTGCAGCCGGGCCGAGGCCACGAAGGGCCACCACGCGCTCGCCCGGCAGGTGTACGAGGCGGCGAAAAGTTGCGACCCCGCCACCGAGCTGGAGGCTCCGAGCCTGGTCCCGGGCACCCGCCTGCGGCCCGCGGACGTGCTCACGGGGGCGTTGGGGCACGGGCTCACGGCGCTCGACATCGGGATCGCCTCGCCCGATGCGAGTAACGCTGGCCCTGACTGCGTCTCCAGCATGTGCGCGCAAAACCGCGTTTTACGCCCCGTACGGCGACGTTCTGGACCGTCAGAACATCTTGTACCAGCCCCCAGTCTGGTCCGCCTGCGGCCGACCCCACCCCCGGACGACATCCATCCCACGCACACTCGCGACCCGCCTTGCCCGGCGGAGGGGATGCTCGGACGGGGCGCGGCGGCACCGCCGCCTGGCCAGCGCGGCTGGTGTGGCGCTGTGGCGGCGGGCGGCCGCCCACGTCAGGGCGTGCTGGCCTGACCGGGGTGGCGACTAAGGGCGCCGCCCGGTTCACCCCCGAAGGCGCGCCCCCCCCCCCCGCCCTCTCGCCCCCGTCCGCCCCCTGCCAGCACGCGCGCCTAACTAGCGGGGCCTGGTGGCTCACATCCCGCGGCCGTGGTTCCCCCGTTGCCCCCCGCCCGCCTGCCTGCTTGCCTGCTTGCCGCCCCCCTCCTCTCCTTTCTCCCCCTCCTCCTCCTCCTCCTCCTCCTCCTCCTCCTCCTCCTCCTCCTCCTCTTATCCTCCTCCTCCTCCTCCTCCTCCTCCTCCTCCTCCTCCTCCTCCTCCTCCCTCCTCCCTCCTGGGTCTGGAGGCCACGCGTCCGCCTTTCGCCCGTCTGCTGAGTGTTCCCCGCTGGGCCTCCTTGCGGCTCAGCGCTCGACGAGAGCACGCCGTCCCCCCTCCTCCTTTCCTCCTTTTCCCCCCTCCTCCTCTGTTCCCTCCCGCGTGCCTTGTCCGAGGCCTGGAAGCACGCAGCGTGCCGCGCGCCGCGTGGGCGGGCCGCGGCTACTGGCGCGCTGTTTCTTCCTCCGTGCCCTGTGGCCGTTCTGCGGCCTCCGGCTCTCATGAGCCGACATTCCCCTCTCGTCGTTCCTCTTGGTGTCCTTCGTCTTTCTCGCCTTTCCTGGCCTCGTGGCCTGTCCGCTTGTCGTCTTCGTCGTTGTCGTCTCGTCTTCTTCCTCCACGCGTTCTCGCCAACTTGCCTTGGCTGTGCCGGCCTCGGTGCGATGCTGTAGCATCGCGGAGCCCCCTTCCCATCATATGGGAAGCTGGCGATTTTTATTGTTTCAAGTGTGTCGGGCCACTTTTGTTTCACAGGAGCGTGCGCCTCCTCTGGGTAAACAGGCTATCGTAGCCCTCCCCCATCCCTCCTTCCCCTCCCTTTCCGGTTTGCGGCCTGGCCCACCCGCTCCATCTCCAAGAGGGGGAGTGGCGGCGGTGGGGGCGGGAGGAACTTTCATTGGCAAACTACAGTGTGTTCGCTCGTCCTCATTGGACTCGCGGGCTTCCCGTGTATACAGGATACGTGTACCGCGATCTATCTGCACCCTCGACCTCGCTTTGCGTGGGCGAATTTCGCGGAGATGCGTGGAACTTCGGGCCAGCTGTCATCCCTGAAGCTTGAGCAAGTCATGATCGCCAGCTGATTTTGACGACACCCAGCATGTGGGGACCTTGCTCGGTCATTCTAATTTAGAACGGATCACCCTCGTGAACTGGCACCCTGACCCTACTGCACACCCATCCTCGGCATTTCTTCACTCCCATCCTAAGCTGGGTCCTGTTTTGTCTGAGCGCCTCCTAGCAGTACAACACCTCCCAATCTCTGTCCTCCTCTCCTCCACCCCCCCTCATCATCATCATCATCATCATCATCATCATCATCATCAGCATCATCATCATCAGCATCGTCAGCATCATCATCATAATCGTCATAATCATATTCAGTATCATCATCACCAGCAGCATCATCTTAATCAACATCAGCATCAGCATCAGCTTCAGCATCAGCATCGACATCATCATCCTCATCCTTCTTTTCCTCATCACCATCATCATTAGATCATCATCACTATG